ATTTTTATTACAATTTTATACAAAGCATATAAAAATTAAAATATAAAATATAAAATTAAAATATAAAATATAATTTAATTTAAGTAATTTAATTAATAATCTTTTTAATAATCTATTTAATAACCTTTATTTTAATTTATCTTTTTTCATTTTTCATAAATTCTATATTTCTAAATAATAGAAATCAAAATTGTTTATGATAAAAATTATTGGAGGATTTATTTTAAAAAATAATAGATTTAAATTAAAAATCAATTAAATGTTTATCAAATTTAAGTAGTAGGGGATGAATGTTAATACTAACATAGTTTAGTTAGCATGCGCTTGTAACATGCAAGTATTATCTTATGTATTTATTCTTTATTAGTTGGGATTTATGTTTAATATAACTTCGTGAAGTTCTTCATAAATTTGAAAATCTTGATAGTGTCGATAAAAATTTAATTTGCTTTATTGTTTTTGATTATCATTAATAAAATATAAAAAAATTTTTGGTTAAGAATAGTATTAGTGAATCAAAAAGTTTCTGTACATGTTAACAGGTGAATAAACATAATTTAAATATAAAAAGTTAATGAATACTTATTTATAAAAATAAAAAATAAAAATTTTTAATTCATTAATAAAAATAAAATAATTTTGAAAAAATTAATAAATATATATCATTTATATCATAAATATTAAAAAAGAATATATCAATGGTTAAACAATAATTTATTTTCTTTATTTACATGTAATACATTATTTAAATAATAGGTTAATCAAATCAAAATTTTAACAAAGCTTGATAATAGATATTGTTAAATATTTGTATATATCATATTTGTATTTAAAATGCATTTTTATATTTAAGTTTTAGTTTTTATTATCAAAAATTAAGTTTTTATGTATATATTAATATCACTCAAATACATTATGTTTTAAATATAATTTAATTATTAAATAAATTTGTTTTAGAATAATATTACAGATGCCATACATTTTGGTACGTGGTAATCTTGCATCATATGGTCATCGATATCCATGGAGAGTTTTAGTATCAGGTCTTAAAGGTATAATTCTTTATTTTGAAATTCAAATACTTATATTACTTATTATATTCAAATATAATATATTACTATATATTATTTCATTATCATGTATGTATTAATAATTTTAAAAATAAATTTTATGTTGATAATTGATATTTTCTAAATATGCAATTTTTAATATCTTATACTTTTTATTTTATATTTCTTATAAAAGAAATTTTTAGAACGTTTTACTTCTATTATTATTACATATTTTCATAATATATGCTGATATAACAAAATAATGCATGTATATATGTATGTGTGTACGTGCGCGCGCGTGTGATATATTTACATGTATATCAGCTTATACATAAAATATTTATATGTATATATTTTCCTTATGATTGCAAGCGCGCGCACATAAAATAGTAATAAAAATAAACGGTAAATTATAAATATATATTAAATATTAAATTCTTTTCTAGAAAATTTTCAAAATATAATGTAATATTTATCATATATATAATAATTTTATGATAAATGAATAAATAAATATTTTGTTATTAATAAATGAAATTGTAATAATAATATTTTTCTAATAGTAATAATTAGTATTAATAATATTAATATTAATATACAAAAAATTCGTATTAAATATACATGTACATACGCATGCACGCACATATATATATATATATAATTTTTTTTATCCAGATTAATAACTCTAATAAAAAAAATATTTCGAAATTTATGTGATTTATGAAATATATAAAAATAATATTATAATATTTGTCATGATTTATAATTGAAAATTTTAAGTTTATCGATTTTTTTCATTTTATTTGAATTAATATTTTTCATAAATGTAAAAATGATACTAATGATTTTGAATAAAATGTTATATCTACTACCGTTTTTTCATCAATTATCTTCATCTATTATCATGATAAAATGATAAAAATTATCATATAGATTGTAAGTAAGATTGATTTATTACTTTTTATTTGAGACCCGTTAGAACGTCTACGACTTTTATATGTATATAATTCTTGTTTTTTTGTTTTAATTCATATAAAAATCCGGAAAAAAAATATTGAATAAAATAAAAAAATACGAAATTACGTCAAAAACTATATAATATTATTCACGTGTGTTGTAGCATCCGATATAGAACAACTGAGTCGTTTTGCTTCTGGAGGATATAGTGATGATTCGACAATAGTGTATTTACAACATCCTTGTGTAATATTAACTGCTTTAGAAGTTCTTGGTTACAAAGTCGTAGCATCTTCAAGTACTAGTGTTAAACAAGATTATAATGAGTATATGTGGACTATGAGAAAAGATTTTTCTGAACCTGAACCCGAACCTGTTATTAAGACAGGTATGATATTATAACAATTACTTTTATTCTCATTAATAATAATATGATTAGATATATTTACATATTTAATTAAAAATTGAATATATTATATTATATCTATGTATCTTTAATATTTTAAAATTGAAAAGAAATGTGTATAAATTCATAAAATATTTTTAATTTTAATATAAAATTTTAATTAAAATAATGTATGTTATATAAATTATTTTAAACATCAGAGGAAAGAAAGTTATTAAATATGTATATAAACAATAATAACGACAATAA